CATTCAAGGTAGAGAAAATATTGCTATAATCAAGAGAGAAGTGGCAGAGGATAGGTTGAGTTTGCTCTGTGGGTTTATGTATTTTTGTTTCTTTACTCCCTGACTTGAAGAAGGAAAACTCTGTAAGGCAGTGGTTCTCAAAGTTCTCAGACCAGCAGAATCAGTATGGCCTCTGAATTGGTAAGACATGAAAATTCTTGGACCTCACCAAGACTTAATACCACAGAAACCCTGGGGCTGGGGCTCAGCAATCTGTATTTTAACAAGCCTACCAGATGATTCTGTTGCATGCTGGAGTTTGAGAGCCATTGCTAATCAATAGTCAGTTGCCACTTGGAGTGCAGTGAAGGCTGCTCTGATAGAAAAGGAGGTTTCAAGCTGCTGGCATTTGTGATATCTCAAATTGCTCCAAGTACCTTACTTACAATTTCCCAAAATATCTCTGAAACTGGGTGAAACATCTCTTCGCTCTTGCTGTTGAGGAATGGCGCATATAGTGACACCTCACCAGAGAATATATTTGGACCTCTAGGCCCTCCCAATGTAAACCACACCTTTGTGACTCCCAATCATCAAGAGAAAAACCACGTGTCCAGGAGTCTCATCAGTACGATTACTATGAAGAGTAATCAGATTGATTGGTTTTTGAGTCTTGCCCGTGCTGACATTCTAGAATTCTGTGTGTTTAATGCTCGCCGAGTGGTTTTGCAAATGACCAAAAAGGTCAGTTGCTGATGGGTTAATAGGAGGAGAAAAGAAGCCAGCATGCATAAGGTGTCTAGTAGCCAGGCCCTGTGCCAGGCATTTTATACATTTGATCTGTACAAGAATCTGACAAGGGAGGCATAGGACCTGTTTACTAAGAAGGGAATTGAGGCTCTGAGAGGCTAAGCTACTTAAACAAGGTTGCACAGCTAGTATGTAGCTTAAGAGAGATTTTTAACCCATCTGCCTGACTTTAAAACTCATGCTCTTTCCTCTGTACCAGGGTCTTTTGGGTCTGGAATTGGCAGTGCAATATATTATGGGGACAGACATAAGAGAGTAAGACCACTAAGTAGGAAAAAAGTCAGTAAAGTGGCCCCTAAAGCTGGCCCCTTTGTATTAGAGAATGGTTGATGAAACAAAGTATCTCTAGCTGGCAGAGGGGGGCACAGGGCATCTGAGTGACCCCAGCAGCTCCCATTTATTCCAGGACAGAATGTGTGCCTTTCTAGCCCTGCTTCTTCTGCCCTCATTTTCTGTCTATCTTAGAAAGGACAAGCTAATGACAATAATGTCTATACTGTCAACATTTATTATATAGTCTTCTGCTACTGCCAGGTCCTGTGGGTAAGCACTTCTGAGTCATCTCATTTACTCTTCATAGAAACCATGTGAAATAGGTAATATCATCCCCATGTTACAGCTGAGAAGACTGAGGCTTAGAGAAGTTAACAGGTAAGTGGTGAAGCACAGGTTTTAATGCAGGAGGCTGCATTCTACTACAATACCTTCCAGGATAAACCTGCAGTCCTTCTGTCCAGATACAAGATCAGCACACTCACTTGCTCTCATGTGCTTTCTCTTCTGCCTCTCTTCTCCCTTGCCTCTCTCTCTCCCTCCCCCCACCCTTCTCTCTCTCTCAGACACACACACCATCCTTTCTTACTCCTCCTTTTCTCCTCTTTCTATGCACAGCAAAGATGCTGAAGTCTTACTTGCCATGTACTCGCCTCTGAGTCATGGACAGCTGAGATGACCCCATCCCTGCCCATTCAAGAGTACCAATGGCAAATCCAAAAGTATCCTGCCAGGTCATTCACCTTCTCCCATCCAAAAGAAAGACCTCTCCAGGCCCCTTCCCTTCCTCTAAGCTGCTCTTATTTCTTCTCCATCACTGAAAGGAACTGGTCACCCCAGCTTCTCCCCAGAGTGAACTACAGCCACTTTGTCTAAAATGTCCCTATGATTAGGTTGTTTTCTGGACCATTCAGTCTTGGGTTCCTTTTGAAAGCCCTGAAATCGTGTACTCAGATTGACCCCAAATCCATCCCAAATGTTTCACCTAAAAGAGGTTTAAGATAGTGGGTACATCTGAGTCCCCAGACAACAGAAATAATTCAAGCCTAAACGAGAAGGCATTTGGTAAGGCCTTTGGTATGTGTGGAGAGTCACTGGGCAGCTACAGGACCCTACTTGGGAGAAGAAGCTGAGTAGGGAAGATGAGAGACAGGGCGCTCTTAGGCATAAAACACCTGCACAGGAGGAAGAAAAGCACCAAGGCGAGGAGGGCCGGGGCTACAACAGCCACAGCCACCACAACCATGGTGCAGGGAATGTGGAATCAATGTGAGTAAGTTGATATGTGAGGACAGCACTGCAACCAGAGTCAGGGCAGAGATGAGTGGGGAATATATGGGACTCAGCTAAGCAAACGGCTTGTCCAATAGCTGTGTGCACACACAGGGGTACCCTCACATACACACAGACACAAACAAACGCCGACCCTGCCCTGTGGCATCACTTTGATTGCAGCTTACTTATCCCAAGACACATGAGTGACAACCAGCTCTTGCAGGAAGGCCACTGGCCTTGCTTGCTCTGTCTATGTTGCAGCCCTGGCAGGACACCCCTCCCTCTCCCTGCTTCTCTGCTCTGAGCTACCCACTCTTCCACCTCCTGCTCCACTGTATGATAACAAGCTCCCACCTGAGCATTAGACAGTGATCCTGGGTACTATTAAGTTTCCCCTCCAACTCATAATCAATCTCTCTGGCTCTCAGTGCTCAGTTGCCTTTCCATGGAGGAGGTCACTAGGCCCTGGGGTTCCTGGGGTCATTTGGAAACTCCTAAGCACCTGCTTCCCATTGACAGCTTTCTTGCTTATCCCTGCCTCCTGCATGATCTGCCTATAGTTCTTCCCGCTAGGCAATCCTAGCTCCCTTGGTGTAGGTCTTCCTTTTTTCCTTAAAGCCCCTCTCTTCTGCCTTAGGGATGGGACTGTCTTGTTCAGTGTCTGTCTTATTCCCTTGGAGCTGACCTGTCCACCGCCCTAGCTCAGGCTACTGCAGTCATGCTCATCCCTCCTAGCCTCCCCCTTCCTTAAGAGGGATCGGATACAGGGCTGGGGCAGGTGGTGTAGACTGCCTCCTACTCTATTCAACAGGAACCATTGCTTCCTACTCTCCTTCCCACTTGCTGTGAGTACCTCCTAGGAGTCAAGTTCATCCCTATGGTCTTTGAAAAAAGGGGAAAAGGCAAGTAAAGTATCCTCAATAGTGTAAAGACAGGAAAGCTCCTTCAGAAGCCTCACCTCCCACAGACTTCTAGCTTTTTCCTCCTCTCTACACACTTCCTGCCCCTGGGGGTCCTCACCAGTCTCTTCTATTCACACTGACTCCCTTATCCTTCTGTCCCACACTGCCCTGAATCATCATCTTCACCCTCCTCCTGCACCTCCTCTTCACCCTGATCAGCTAGTCACCATTATGACTCAACAGCACACTCATGGCGTAGGTGAAGAAAACTAAGTCTCCTGGCCAAAGAATGGGTGGGCAGGCTAGCTAAGGCCTTATTCTTTGGCATCAGAGAGCCTGGGTTTGAGTTTTGGCTCTGCTAATTACTAGCTAGCTATCTTATGGACACATGTAACCATGGGCAAGCTTCAGATTCATTACCTGTAAAACAGAGACATTAAAAACACTTACCTCATAGGGCTGTTAGGAGAACTGATTGGCCTTTTGCAGTAAAGCACTTGTACACAATGGCTGGTGTATAGGAAAACATCAATACGCATCATTAGCTGGGGAAAATCATTATAGTTTTGATCTAAGAGGCAGGGATCAGGTCTCAACTGTGACAGTACATGGGAATTTGGAGGCAAGCATCCATGAAGTTCAAAGACCTGGGCTGGCCTGGCCTGAAGTTTTGAATATCTGAGTTTCTAAGTAATGGCAAAACACCAGGTAAACTCATCGTTATCTTAGGATCAGTTCTTCAGGATCAGACACAGGGGATTAAGAGGGTAATTGTTTCTTTGTAAACTGTAGTGTTATAAGAAGTGGAATGATCTTCTGCTAGAAATCTATTTCAACTACCATTTGAATACTGAGAAAGTTATCCCACTCTCACTGTCAGCAGTCATTTGGGTCACTGCCCCGGGGATCCTATAGGTTGGGTCACTGGTGACAGCCAGTGACAACAAGCATGTGAGAGTAGTCAATCTGGCAGTCCTGTGTCTCTGTAGAAAGGGCCTGTATCTCCCGGTGCCACAGACTGGCCTAGTGGAGAAGAAAAACAGTCACAGAATTGGGCATGCACATTTTCACTAAAGGGGACACTTGGCACCGCGATCATGGGTCTCAAATTATCTGGCAGTGTCTCCATTCGCATCATTCTCCCCAATAATGGTGGATTATAAAATATGTCCAGAAATGTGATTTGAATTTTATGTTTTTATAAAATCCCCTCACCAAATCAATTCACAAACGTGAAAGACAAAAGCATTTGTCACACTCCGAGCAGATTGCCTATCTGGAAGGTATGGTCACCAAGCTCCCAGGTAATTGTTTAATGAAAGGCTGGAGTGCGGTTTATTTTTCAGATTGACTGATAAAATAGCACCAGACGGCTCTGTCTATAAGCCTTGCTACAGCTGAGTCAGAAGCACACTCATCCCCTGCTCCCTTCTCTTGCAGTAGCTATGATCTGTTATGGGAGGGGTAACGACTAAAAGGCTCTATGTAACTGTTTTTGCTTTCTCTTGGTTGAGGCTTCTGCTTACACACGAGGTTGCTGAGGTCCCAGCCATGTCCTCAGGGTGTGTGTTGCCATGGAAGACGGTACCCCTTCTACTAGAATATCACAAAGAGGGCGGCTAACTGCCCCCAGGATGACAGCTGAGAACATCCTCCACACACATCCTCAGCACAGAGAAGAACACTGCGAGCAGTTTTGACAAGAGATGGAGCAAAGGGAGGGGGAGAAATCAACAATTCTAAAGGCAAAGAGCTGTTTACCTTCCCACAGATCCACCGTCTGAAAAATGTCGGTGGTCCTGACACCGTAGATCTCTGCGGCTTTTAGGAACTGGGAGATTTGCTCCATCTGCTTAAACGCCATCTTTGACTCTGAGATCTTGGGAATGGGCTCTTGTCCTGGTGGATATAAACTGTTTATCAGCTTGCACAGGACCTGAAGTGGGAGAGGGGAGACAGAATCAATATTTCCCTTGTATATACAGATCACAAATAAGAAGTAAATCCTGCCACCTCCCTCCCCTGCTCCCAGGGCACAGCTCATCCGGTTTGGGCAGGAGCAAGTCGTGGGCCCAGGAAGGCATAGGCTCAGGGTGTGAGGCCAGACTCTCACAGTGAGCCTCGAAGACCCAGATGACCCCATTCCCAGGGCTGCTCCTGACTGCAGAAAATCCTGTAGCACGGGAACCCCATTCCCTCTTTGTTCCTCCCCTCCCTTTTCTGGGTGAGGGAGAGAATGTTTACAGATAAGGAATGATGTGAGAATATGATTGCAGACTTTCAATGGAGGAATGAGTTAATGGTTCCCCAGGTGGGCAAAACTCCAATGATAGTCTAATATTATTTCTTCTATCAAAAGGCAGGTCAGAAGCAGTCTTCAATAATTCATATTCTACGTGCTAATGACATGTAAAAGAAGTAAACTAGGTATCCTCTTCCCAGACACGTATAACACAAGCCCTGGGCAACCCAGCAGGAGCGTGGGATAGCAGTTATGTAACAGTAAATCACAGGCTGTGGGCTTGTTGGAATCAGCAGAGCCTGTGGTCCTCAAATCCCCAGACACACAGGAGCATCTGGTCAGAATAGCTGTTAGCAGATAAGGATTTCCTTCCTTTCTTGAGTACACATCTACTCAACAAACAGACACTGGGCATCTCCAGGGTACAGGGCTCCTGGAAGAATGTCAAGGTAGCTAGTCCCCCTTCCTCCTTCCTTTGTTTTACTGGGTAACTAGCCCATTCCCCCGGGGTGAGAAATGGCCCCAGAAGAGCTGATGCACCAAGAAGGCTGGGGAGATCACAGGGAAATACTTATGTCTATTCTCACAGGGAAAATCAAAAGGGCCTCGAATTTGCCAACAATCCAGAGGGAAGCAGTGAAGCTGGGATGGGTGGGGAACTCCCAAGCCAGCAAGGGAATTGTGCAGGGGGTCCAGATCTTCCAACCCTGAGGAGATAAAGGAATTCCCATCCCTTCCGGGTGGTCACAGAGCCTGGCAACGACAGTGCCTCCTGCAGCCACACGTTCAAAAAAGAAGGGCCCCGGGGGCTTTCCCTGCCCACCACCCCAGTCACCAAAGCTGGCCCGCTGCCTTACCGTCCCGTCCATTAACCATTTCTGAAAATGGGCCCTGCCGGGGGGCGGATGCTCTATGTCCTCGGCGCACTGCAGGATGATCCAGTCCACCAGCTTGTTCTCCAGGTCCGCATCATACTTCTGCTCGATCTTCTCCTGCACCTCTCGGCTTAAGCCGTAGCTCGGGCCCCTGTTAGCCATCTCTGGAAAGAAGAGAGGACGCGCGCGGCATCCACACAATAGCAGCTGCAGCCCCGGGCTCCCTGCAAGCGGGGTTGGGATGCGTGTGGCTGGGCGGCCTGGCCGAGCAGCCGCCAGGCGGCCAGAAAGCCGGGCGTGGTTTAAATCAAGGAGCCAATGAAGCCAGGGGGGCTTCACCTACAAACGAGGGAGCGAAGCGCAGCCACGCGCCAGTGACTCTAGCATAAAGCCTGGGCCGGTCCAGGGGGGCTGGAACCCCCTCGCGGTCCTATCAGTGAGAGGAGAGACGATGCACACGGTGGAGCCTGAATCCCGCAAGCAGCAAGAGGGATGGATGGTGGTCGTTTCCTCCCCCTCTCGGTAGCAGTCTGCAAAGGCAGGAACCAGGCGACTGAAAGGGCAGGTGATGAACAGGCTGGGGGGAGGCGGCCTTGGCCTTCAGCTGCTGCTGCTGCCGCATCGCGCCTAGAAGAATGGCACGCTGATTTGATTTTCCACTGGCTGAGGAGGGTCAAACCAGGGCCGTTGCTAAGAGCTCTCCAAAAAGCCAGCCCGCTCCCCTGTCAGTCAAGCCGCTTGCCCCCTCCCGCTGAGAGCTTCTTTCTCAGCTGCACAATCCTTTCCATCCTCTAGGGAGAGAGCCCATTGTATACCAGGCCAGCATGCAGCTGCACGTGAGATGAGGGCCTGGGGGAGGGTCTATTCTACCAACTGTCCATCTGTCCGGAGTAGCCAAACCACTTTTCCCCTGCCCCGAGGTAACAATTGTCTGGCAGGACTGGAGAAAAGGGACTCAGGGCTGCAGTCATTTACTTGTTCAGCTGCCAGCCCAACTTCACCCAGGGACTTTCATCCTGGTGGGAAACTGCTGTACCTCTGTTTGCCCTATTCAAGGGATATGCCTTTAAATGGTATTTTTAACCTAAAAGCAAGTTGTAGTCATTAAACAAAACTCAGTGCACTAACTCTTAGAGTGAAAGGTGCTTTTAAAAATTTTTTAAAATATGTCTTACAAGTTTTTTTAAAAAAGAAATGGGGTCTTTCAATGTTGCCTACGCTGGTCTTGAACTTCTGGGCTCAAGTGATCCTCCCATCTTGGCCTCTCAAAATGCTAGGATTACAGGTGTGAGGTACCGCACGTGGCTGAAAGATTTTGATGAGTAAAAAAAGACTTTATCAGTTTATTTCAAATTAGGACCATGAAGTCACAATTGATATATTGTCATGGGTAACCATGCTTGGCACAAGTAAAGAAGAATCAGGAAAAATCACTAGTCTAAATTAATCTGGAATTTTTATAGCAGCTAAAGGATTTGGCAGTTTGTTCTAGAGTGTAAGCCACTTGGGGGTAAAGATTGAGTCTCACTGGTATTGTGTGAGTTTCTGAGTACTTTTCATGAGAAAATCACCCAACTATTTGTTTTTTGGTTCATTTCTTCATTCCACAAATACTTACTGTGTGCTTAACTGTGCCAAATACTGGACTGGAGAGGAATAAAATACAATAATTCTTGCCTCTAGAACGGATTGATAAATTGACTCAAGCACATTAGATAAAGCAATTCTAGTACATGGGATGGTGATCTTTGTCCCTGGGGGAAATTGATTAGAAGATATGCAGGAAATGACTCTTCAACTAATACATGTATTGAGAAAAATTTCCTGCCGGCTGTGGCCTGTACTAACGTAAATTTAATTAGCAGATATGTGAGTGGTTTGCCTGAGAAAAGACTTAGTGGCCAGTAGTTGAAAGCCTGTGAGCGAGAACTCAGTGAAAGACAGAGAGTCAAGAGCTTTTAGGAGAACAGTAGTTTTAGCAAGGAACAAGGGAAGGACTAATTCAGGTCTTGATGCTGCATGGCCTCATCAGTTGGGGAGTTCCAAAGATAGCAGAACTGTCTTCAGAGACTCAGAGCCTAGGCTACTCAGAGGAGCAGAGTTTAGAGCTGGAGAATCAGCAGCAGCATTGTGGAAGTTGCTAGTTGCATCTTGGGTGGCAACAATAAGGTTAGTTCTAACCTGAGACTGAGAGAACAGAGATCCAAACAAAAATACATGTCACTTTCTTTGTGGCTGGAATTGCTCTAAGGAACATCTGAGATTGATATACAAATCTGGAAACAATTTTAAAGATGTATATTTGACTTCCTTTTTTTTTAGACCTTGTTTTGCAGATTTTTTGTACCCAAAGATTCCTTCTGATTTTAACAGAATAGCTGGTGTGCTTTAAGTGAATGATTGAGCCTGTGATTCTGAAGAGAATACAATGACCACAGCAAGGCATAGGTTGAAAGTATCCAGAAATCCCGAGGAAATCTTTGTTAAAGGACTTATGTATGTATCTGAGATACAAAAAGGAATGAGACATAGAAACTTGGTTTATTAGCAAAGTTAAATTTATTAACAATAAATGCCAGCCAGATGTCAAACCTAGAGAAAGGGGCTAGGAAATTATGGGAAGGGTTTATAAATGAGATGATCTTAAGTCTTGAGAGATGAGTAGGTGTTTGGCAGGTGAAGGAAGTGAGGTAGGGAATGTTGTAGGCTAAAAAAAAACACAAAAAACAAAACCAATGCAAAACAAAACAAATCTTATTTAAGATGAAAATCTTCCAGTATCCATGGAGCATAGGGTTAAAGAGAAGAGACACGTAGAAAAAATGAGACTGGAATGTCAGGCAGCCTCTGAATCATAACGCGTGTGCTCACAAGTGTCCATGGTTAAATTTTCAGGAATTTAAAGAGCCAGTATTAAACTCAACCACTATTAGTAAATGAGATATATTAGCTTACTCATGAATAAATTATATTACAAAGGTTAAATACCCAAAACAAATCACTTCCTAATTTGCTACATTTTCTAATACTCATGCTCTTAAGGATATTTGCACTTATCATCTCTGTGTGGTGTAAATATTTTGTGATGGTGTGCTGCTGGGTATTTCTTCCAAACTTTGTATTAAGAGATGTCTTTGTGGTAGGTTGAAACCAGCCATGACAGGGGTATGTATGCATTTGTAGCAAATGCTACAAATCAGGGCTCTTGTCCCCCCACCAAAAGCCAGTTGTTAAACATTTACCAGCCTTGAATGGACTTATGTATCACACAAGAGTTTGAGTTTTTTCAGGGTGAAAGAGAAGCATCAATCTGACTTGGATGAAAGAAAAGGAGACGAGCAGAATGACTCACAAATTTGACTTGTGTAACAGAAGTATAATAGTGGCACCATTTACTGAAAGATAACTCCTAGGTGGGGAGGTACATAAAAGGACAAAGACAATAAGGTTAGGATTTACTACGTTTGGGAGGCCTATGGTCAATCCCAGTTCATTAGGCAGTTGGTTTTATGGGTCTAGAGCTTAAAAGAGATATCTAGATTGTAAGAATGTACTTGAATCAACTGCATTCAGGTAGTAGTTAAAACCGTGGACATGGTGATGTTGCTCGAGGTGAGTACGTATGTGGCATGACAAGACTGCCAAGATCAGAAGTCAAGAAATATTAACGTTATAAAGTGGGCAAGGAGGAGAAGCCAATAACGGAGTTGATACAGCATGGTCAGAGATGTCTAGGGATAATCAATGTCAAAACAAAGCTCCTGACCTCAGTGATCCTTTAAAAGAGGAAGCTGGCTGTTGTATCCAAAAAGTCACGGACAGAGTGCTGTTAATGAGAAAGTACAGAGGACCCTACACCAAACTTACTGGGGGGAAAAAAAAAGAGATGGACACGAGTCAGAAAAAACTTCACAGAAAATAATTTAAGCTTAATTTTTAGTAGAAGAAAGTTTATCTATCAGCAAAAACCTGAAAGCCCAGGAAAAGAAGACAGACCAGGAAAGGACATTTTCCCCAAAAGATAACATTTGGTTTAAAAATATGCATTTTTCTAGGCATATTCTCTAAATATACCAAAATATCACATTTCGTCTTCAAACCATTACACATACCACACGACTGTTTCTAAACTAAGCCATTACTTGAGATCTGTATTTAAAGGGGCTCTTAAAAAGGTATATTTAAATTCCACCCACCTTCTTCTCTACTCCAGGAAATAAGAATGCTTTAGATTTTTAAAAACTGTTCCATATTTAATGGACATATTCACTCTGGGGACTGTCCTGGAGATAGTTATTTATTAGTAACATTCACTCAGCTGTCTATTTCCATGCTTTATAAAACTCAGCCTTGCCCAGAGCGCTTTTCTTCCCCTCCTCCACAATAGACCTTTCTATTGGCTGCTTGGAGAATGACATACTGTTTAGATTTGTGTCTGGAAATGCCTCGAAGCTCAACAGATGCAGCAAAAGCAAAATATATTATGTGGCCTCATTTAGCCTTCCGTTCCATTGGTCTTTGCCTTATCCCTTTCTGTTGCACATGCTGAGATTGTTTAGAGGGGTCATGTCACTTTTAAAATGCAGGAGTTCCAAAGGATAAGGCACTGAGGAGCTGCTGGTTGTTCGTGCATTTTACACGTCACTGAATGCATGGTATGGATGGTTTCAGAAAAGAGCTTTGGGGAAAAATAGAAAAAACACTAAAGTAATTAACAGTGTGCTAGAATACACTAAGTCTCATAGATTCAAACTCATTTGGAATTTATGTTAACTTCTGCAAAGCTTGACTACTCTTTAAAACAGCTTTTCCTATCTCTAGATGGTGAAGGTTCCCTCTCCTCTTCCTCACCTTTTTTTTTTTTAGCCATTGAATGTTTGAAGACCATAAGACATTCCTATCTGGGATCTCAAGGTTAGGAAGGTCACATCCAGCTCAGCCTTAGAAACCCTGCTTCTAGTTTCCTTCCTGTAAAAACACGGATTGTGCCCATCAATCTCTCACTGGACTGTGCTCTGTGCATAACAAAAGCAAGAAGGTAGTGCCTCTTATGTGTCATTGTTCTAAATGTGTTGTGCTTACTTAATCCTTACTCCCTATTATCCATGTTTATGCCACTTTACAGATCAGGAAACTGAGGCTTGGTGACGTTACTTGCTCAGTCAGTTAGAAAATGATAAGCCAGGATTCAAACAGGAGCTCTAGTCTTTGCCCTTAGCCACGATGCATACCACCTCTGCATATTGTGAATCTCTTTTCATATTTATTATTTTGTTATAATTATGTGCAACCCCAGAAAATTCTCATGGGCAGGGGACTTTCCTCTTCATCTCCCCAACAAGCTTCATGCCTGGCAACGGCTAGGCAAAATAGCGTTATTCTCTCACCCCACTCTAGCACCAGGCACTGTGGCACACAAAAATTATCTTTTAGATGTGGGATTTTTGTCCAGTATAAAAAACCCATGGACTGCAGTTAATTGCCCTGTAGGACATTAATCAGTGTTATATCTGTATCAAGGGACCCCCAAGACCACCCTGACTTAAGATTTGCTATAAGGACTCATAAGACTCAGCATATGATTTATTAGTATTCAGGAAACTCAGCTATGATTTATTAGAGTGAAAGGATACAAAGCAAAATCAACAAAGGAAAAAGGCATGTGGGGTGAAGTCAGGGGAAACTAGGAGCAAGCGTCCAAGAATCCTCTCCCAGTGAAGTCACACAGGATGAGGTTAGTTCTCCCAGCAACGAGCTGTAATAGCACATGTGAACCGTTGCCCACCAAGGAAGCCTGTTAGAGACCAAGAGCCCAGGGTTGTTACTGCGAACTGGTCACATAGAGCACTATCTGCCTGGAACATCAAAATTCCTGATTCCCAGAAGGAAAGCAGGTGTTCAGTACAAACCCCATTTTTGTATGGGCAGTTCAAGTATAGTGAACTACTTTTATCAGTTCTGGGAATGGCGAAAGCACCCTGAAATCCAAGTTCCCAGATGCTAGGCCAAGAGCCAACCCTGTAAAGCTGGTCTCTAAGGATAAGTAGTCAGGTCTGCTAACATTTTTTTTTCTTGCACTATACTCAGTTTCTAGAATTGTCCTTTGAATCAGGTTTACTAACTGCTGTTAACTCATTAGTAAGTTAAATAAGTATTTGACTGTTTATTTTATATACATATTTATGTCATGCTGTCAACTTAATAAAAGGTTTGACAAACATAACTTAAATAGGCTAAATAAAGTCCAGTCAAAATTAATAGCTAAAAAAAAAAAAAGTCAACTCATTATCAAGGCTGACTACTGCACAGGCTTGTTTTAGTTACTTAAAAAATAAAAACCTTCAAACCTGCATTTCATATTTTCTTACGGATCTCTACACTTCAGAAAGCTGACTTAGGTAGCAATCATTTGGCTAGCTAGTACTTAAGGCAAAATCAATAAAATTATGAATGTTTCTGCAATTAGGTAATAATATATAAAAATCAGTGTTTTATTAATCAGAACATAAAGGTGCTACATTAAGTTGAAACTCCCATTTAAATAAGTATATGACCTATAAGCCAAATTTCAGAAGTATATTGGTATTACTAAAAAGTTTTGAGTTTTTGAAAAGTAAAATCTTAAGTTTGAACATAATGTGCAGCTTATATAATACAAATTATACTTTGTTACATATATTCTTATTTTGTGAAGTTTATTATGCTTCAGACATTTTTCTAATCATTTCAAATTTATTTCAATAAACATTTTCTTATATTTTTGAACTGCATTTTAAAATCATAAGTTATTGTACAAATTTACATCTATAAGAAACAAAAACCAAAATATTCAAGTTTTACTAATAACCTTAAGCAAAAGATAATGCAATTAAGAACTGGCAGGGTTAACATAAGTGTAAAAAAGGTAAACTTTGTCTGAATTAAAAAAACAGGAAATACTTGAATGAAAAAAATCAAGGGAAAAGTTTTCTGAATAGCAGCTGGTACTTTCTTCACAATTTGTATTACTTGTACAAATACACCATTAAATACATACTTAACTGATATTTACAAAACACTGGTAAGAGAGAAAAACCTAAAGTATCAGGATCTTTTATTTGTTATCCCTCTTTCAATTTTGTGGATATATTAGTTTACATGCTACCTAAAAATGTGGTATTAGTTAACTATTGTTGAAAGCTTATCAATTAAGTCATCAATTGTGTAAACAAGAAGTTGAATGTCTGCTTTCTCCTTCATTCGGTGATCACTATGTTTTCGGAGGATTATATCCACATCTTTGCTGAGTACTCGGTCAGCAACCTGCATGGATGTATGCCAAGGCACGACATCATCCTTCATGCCATGGAGCAACCTTATAGGGCAGTTCACTGGAATTGGACTATGTAACAAGCAGTGATGTTCAGCTTCTTTAATGAAACTGTATGGAATGTGATACTTTCCTTCTTCATGGTATTTTGATGGCATGGCCCACACACCTTTCATCTCTACTTCTTTTTTCAGCTATTGGAAAAATGAGAAAAATAAAAGTATTTATGACTTTATGCAACATTAACACATCCAACAGATCCAACACATCTAAGGCAAGCAATCCTTGAGTAAGAGAACAAAGATAACAAGTGTAATGACAATAATTATCAATAATTAAATACTATATGCAAGGTACTATGATAGGTACTTTATACATACGAGGACCCCCCAAAAATTGGAATGGCCTTTTGGAGGGTGGGCCCCTTGTAATACAGCCCCCCTCCATCCCCTATATGTGTTCTAGGAACCCATCGCCATCAGCGTATCAGTTATTGTTGTTGTAAGAGGCTGTGTTTGGCTTCAGTGAATTTTTCTGGAGATTCTTTCAACACATCTGTCCATTTCATGATGGGTGATTTAACGAGTGTACCTGCCCACACCATGTAGTAGTTTTTGACCAAAATGGCATGACCTCTAATGCCCCACCCTCCTTATTTGCCCTATCTCGCCCTGAGTAACATTTTTTTTCTGCTTCCCTGGATGAAAAAAAGTCCTTAAAGGGAACCATTTTTTGTCAATGTGAAAGAGGTGAAACAAAAAACACAAAAAACAAGAAGCACTAAAAGCTACCAAAGTTAATGAGTTCAAAAACTCATACAATTTTAGGCTGAATGTAAAAAAAATATAAATAAAATAAAACTTTCTTCCAGAGTCATAGGAATGAGAAAAAAATGATTCTTTGTTTTGAATGATAAGTCTTCTACATACTTCCTGAGAATTGTGTATTTCTACATTTATTGCCTTAAAATGAAGTATTACACATCCTGATTCTTTGTGAATTATATTTTTCAGATTATAATTTGTAGTTTTAAATAGTTTTTCTAATTAAAAATTAGAATTTTAAAATTAGTAACATACACTTATTATAGAAAACATAATAAAAAAAGAAATTAATCCTACCTCATGAATAAAACAACCATATTGTGACTTATTTCCTTCCAGTATTTTTCCATGTTTTTGGTTTTCATATGTAATCGTAAAATACACATCTCTTCACACACAGTTTTCTATGCCGCTTTATTTATTTAGTAATATATTTCTGAGTTTTAAAAAAATTACATGAAAAGGTTTTAAAGCCTGCATTAAGCAGTCCACTATAATTGACTTAAGTTAATTAACTTGGTCATTCCCATACTGCTGGATACTTCCATGAACATTTTTGAGCATAAAAGTTTATTAATGTGTAATAAATTCTTAAAAAGGTTATCAGAACTAAAACTAAAAAATCAAGCTGTAAATAGATTTAAGGGTCTTATAATCATATATGAAAGGCATTTCTAGAAAAATGAAATAGACACCTTATCAAAGATTTTTAAAAATTAAGGAAAGAAAAGCCACATACAGCATATTTGAGTATTTCTGAACTTAAAGTTTCAACATAAATACTACAATTTTCCCATAGTGTTTCCATAGTATTTTTCCTATAAAATGTTCATATACTGCTAATGTAAAAAGGATATCAAGAATTAAAAATAAAAATCCATGTATGAATCAATCTATATGTACTTGGGCAGTTTAATGCATTTTTTTAAATTTCAAAAAGATGTATGGGTTCAGTGAAAAATTTATATATCTGAAAGCTATACTTCTAAATATCTGTCTCCAAATGATTTACAATTAATGAAATTCCAACCATAAAATGTTATAAATCTGTATTAATATCATGGGGTTCTCTGTATTAAAACCCAAATATTTAAAGTAAAAATGATATTCAGTTATCCTCAAGCTATTCAGGATTGTTTCGGAATTTGTAAAAATATCAGCAATTAGGACTTAGTTCCACTGGTTAATCGTTGAAGTGGAAGCTATGCTAATTACTGTGACACAATTAATAATAGTTTTGTTTTAAACATCCCTGACCCCCAACTAGCTGTTATTTGCTTTTAAATTGAACAAATACAGTTCATTATATAAGTTAACTTTATAAAATGTTGTATGTCTGAAACCCTCAAAAGAAAAAAGGTCAGAAACAGCAAAAACAGCATTGCTCAAAGAAAATACATAGTATACTCAAGTTCTATTTCTTGATGCCTATTTATCAAAGGCAATTATGGTTCAGAAGCTTAAATTCCAAACAGCTATGTATTACGTGTGAGGCCCTCTAGTGTCTAAAAGAGAGAATGATTAGAGTCAAGTTAAGAGGGAGATCAAGTTCTTAGACAAACAATGAGAAATGCTGGGCTTAATATTCCCAAGGTTATAAAAGATGGTAAAATCTCCACTTCTGCTTCTTTGACATTGTTAGGGCTAGCTGTATGTGTGGGGAAGAGGCAGTGGTCCTAGTATTCCTGCTTCTTCCTTATACATACTTTTAAGTTAATAATGGCTCAGGACTTGGCAGCAGCAGCCTTGGATGTGTTGGGTGAAAAATAAATAATGGCTCAACATGCTTATTAACAATTGCTTATCTGATTAAGGATGAACAAAATATGCCCTGCTTCGCAGATTATAAATCTTCTCAGTTACTTACGGAGTATATCTATCTTACCATCGCTCTGAGGGACGTGGATACACACACAAAGAGAAAGGTACATAGATTTTGTCATTTACCAATAACCAAAAAATGTAATTAAAAAACCAAACTCCCCAACAACAAAAAATGCCAAAGACCCCCCAAAAAAACTCAAAACCCTCCCAACTCCTTTTCAACCCAACACATCCTTGAGATAATTTCCCACCATTAGAAGCACTGTGTTATTGAGTTAAGAGGATGGAACACAGGATCCAAGCTTAGATGCACAAAATGACAATGGTAGGAAAAACACAAGGACACTGAGGAATATGTATGAGAAATGACCAAGAAAGAAAAAATTTCCGAAATAAGAGATAAGTACAAGGAAGACCAGCTTTATAATTTTAGCCCTAATAAAGGAATCTGACTACATAGGCAGTGGTATTTCTTAAGGAGCAAAGAACAACATGAACTAAAATGAACTTAGAATACACGATATATGGCACAGGTAGGCAATGCAGGACTGAGGCAAAAGTCAGTGACATTCTACTATTCAATACTACATACGGTAGTTTTTTTTTCTTTTCAAAATATCTTTCCCTCCTCCTCCTCTTCCTCCATTCTCTAGAACACTGGTTTTCAAACTTTTCAGGATGCTCGTTAAAACACAGAGTGCTGGGCTGTATCCCCAGTTTCTGATTCAGGGAAAAACTCAACAATTTAGATTTCTAACAAGTTCTCAGGCAATGTTGTTGCCCTGATGACCATATTTTTTGAACCACTGCTCTAGACTGTTTTTTTTTTTTCTTTAATTTCTGTGCCCCAGGCCTAACAGGATCTTAGTCCCACAGGTCAAAGACCCCTAGGAAAACAAAGCCCAAAGAGAAGTCAATCAACTGCAGCACAAATAAAAAACCACATAAAAATGAAGTAGTTATTATTTCCTTAATCTTGTAGACAACTGAAGTACTTAAACATATGACCAATAACAGTATAATAAACTAATTACTTTCCCAGTTAATTCAGAAACCTTGTTTCTACCATGATTTGCAGAAGAACATGCATGAATGAAAAGCACTTTTTTTCCCCCGGAAAGCGAGAATTAGAGTAGGAAAAGAATGCCAATCAGATATCTAAGGTAGGAAAAGCAAAGTCCATCTCCAGCGTACTCTTACTGATGTTCTGTCTGGAGAGCTCTGCTAAGAGGTTCTGAGGCTACTTTTAAGCTAAAAAAATATGGCCAGCCCTCTGTATCAATAGGTTCTGCATCCATGGATTCAACCAGCCTTGAACTGAAAATATTCATGTTTTTTCTTGTCCTAATTCCTTAAAGAACACAGTATAACAACTATTTACATTAGGTATTATGAAAATTCTAGATATGATTTAAATTATATAGGAGGTTACATGCAAATACAACACCATTTTGTGCCATGGACTTCAGCATCTCCGGATTTTGTTATCTGTGGGAGGTTCTGGAAGCAATTCACTTGGATATCAAGGGACAAATGTAGTTCCACAACTGATAAGACAAGTCTAACATGTCATAAGAATAGGCACTATTGCCCACATGCTACAAAGGGTAACAGCTACAAAAAAGAGATCACAATGTATAGTCCAAATAAATAAATGTGATTACGAAAATGCTGCTAAAGAAAGAAATTTCAAAGTGTGATTTCATTAATGTGGCAAATATTTGGCAGGATGATTTAAGAGACTGTGAAGAAAAGAGAACCTTAAACAAGAGGCCAAATAGTTAAAGGTGGAAAAGAGACTGGATAAAAAAGAAAAAGGTCAGCATAATAAGTCAAAAGACAAATGACACATGAACAAATTTTCAAAAAGAAAGGGAGCAGTAAAATGACAGGAGGTATATACAGAGATTGCTAAAGTGACTTGTGACTTACTTCAACAGGAAGCTGATTAAACTGTGTCACTAAGCCATCTACAGCTGTAGCTACACCAATAAGAGCCATAACTTTTTCTGGTCGGGCAATTGCAGCATGAAGCATGAGCCACCCACCAAGGCTAGCTCCAACTAGTATCTGAAAACAAAAATATGTATTGTTTTAAATAGGACTTTATTTTTCCTGTCTACTAAGTGAATGAATAGTTTAATATAAATTTATGGTTTTTTCTTTTATTTTATTCATGTATTTTTCACATGTAGCTCCCAGACCCTTAACATTTGATACAAAGTATAATTCAATTATGATTAACTTTTTCTTAAAGTATCAGGTCTATAATACAGAATAAGTTATAAACATAAAACAATATTTGTACAATAAAAAGTAAAACGCTACTTACATTTTATTAGAAAGTGAAAATAGAACAATTTTAAATCAAATATAAAAATTATTAAACATTTAAAATATTAAATAAGTTTTCATATCTAAAGAAACAGTTTAAATACGAGATTATAGTCAATAATTTTCAGATTTAACAAAAATAGTCACCTGGGGTCCAATGGCTAAGTCATCAATTATAGAAAGAACATCTTTTCTCCATTTTCCCACTGTGCTTTCTTGTAAGTTGCCATCTGAACTTCCAACTCCTGAGTAGTCAAACCTAGGAAAAGAGAAATGTATCTATAGCTAAATATCTATATATTTGCTTCTTTTATTTTTAAGATAGCATATTCCTCATTATTACAATGCCTAAAATATAGTAAGATGTCAGTCAATATACATTTCAGTAAATCCTACTGGCTCATTAACCTTCAAATATCTCCTATATCCAATTGCTTTCTCACTTTCTACACTCTACCAGCCTAGGCCAAGTCATATCATCTCTAGAAAGAACATCCAACAGACTCCTAATATGTTTCCTCCTTTCCATTTTTTACCTTTATAGTCTATTTCCCACATAGTAGTCAGAATGGTTCTTTTAAAACAAAAACATCTGCACGAACCCAAAGACACTATATAATATTTAATAAAACCCAAGGTCCTTACCATAATACTTTGGGGTCCAAGCACCTCTCTGTATCTCTCCCAACTGTATCCTCACCTCCCTTCTTCAAGTTCTTGCCTCATAAGCTTTTCCTTCTACATGGAATACTCTCCTCCAGATATCCACGTAGATTGCTCCCTCACTTCATGCCGTTGGCTAAAACTTTATATCCCCAAAAAAGCCTTCTCTGACCAATCAATCATTAAAATTATGCTTCTTTCATCTATTCTCTATTTCCTTATTCTGCTTCTTTTCTTCACAACACTTACTACGATTTGACTGTGTTTATGGTCTATCTCCCACACTAGAGAGCTCCATATAGACATAAACTTTGTTTTGTTCACCAATGGTTTCCCAGTGCCTAGATGAGTTTCTTGCAAGTAATAGGTGCTTATTATATACCGGGGTGCTAAAAATATATACATACACATTTTGAGAGATGTTATCTATGCACTTTTAGTTTGCTGTAATCAGAAGTATCTGGAGGTTGATGGTAACCACTCTGAGCACCTACTGTAACTGCAGAAGTCGAACGTGACTTGTATTCATCTTTTGTTATTGGTATACATCGAATACTACAATTTTAACACAGTTTTTTCCTTTCTTAAAATGTGTATACTTTTGGGGGGCACTCTCTGTATTTACTGAATTAATGGAGGAGAAGGCAACCAGAATAAATTTCATCACCACCAACCCATCAACTTCTTCCAACTTCCTAGTTATCTAGGCTTGAGTCTCTCTGCTCTATGAATTTTACTTCTCCTTAAAGGTCTCAATTTAATAAATCATGAAGTATCATACTATGCCCACAGATTACCCAATCCCTATCAATCCCAGATAAATTCTTTTATAACTTTAAGCCTTTGTATGCTGTTCCCACTCAAACTCCTAGTCATCCTTTAAGTCATCTCCTTGGAGGAACTTCACTTGACATATATGCTCCATTCAGTACCACTTTCTTTTGTACACACTCAAGACCTTTCATACTGTGTTATAACCACGCTTTAAATATTCTTCTCCCTTTGAGAGAATGTCAGTTCCTTAAGGGCAGACTGTTTCATTCAAGTCTGTTTTTCCAGGCTACAGAACACTGCCTGCTCTACACCATCATCACTCATTCTCTTTTCTGATATGCACCTTTCTTGGCACTTTGGAAAGGCCGCATCTTGGTGCAGGTCTTTGTCATCCTGAAGCTAGATAGTCACAATACCTGTCTCTATGACTCCAAATGGATTTACAGTACAAGGGAGGGCACAAAAAACCCTAAATGTAGACCCGCCTGGGCAGCGAGACCTCATCTCTACAATAAAAAAAAAAACAAAAACATCAGCCGGGCATGGTAGTGCATGCCTGTAATTCCGGCTACTTGGAAGGCTGAGATGGAAGGATCGCCGGAGCCCAGCAGGTCGAGGCTGCGGTGGCCGGGAGCGGCCACTAAACTCCAGTCTGGGCGACAGAGTGAGACTCCAACTCAAAAAAAAAAAAAATTGCATATTTATCCTTACACGTTTAAACTTCAGTCACCTTCAAAGTACTTTCCATGCAATGCAATAACCTATCAAGGCACATTTTCCACTGCTCAAAAGTTTTTAAGTTGTCAACTTTGATGCCTTTTAGTGCTTCTGCCATTTTTTGTTTCACCTCTCTCATTCACATCAGCAAAATGTCTCCCTTTGAGGACTTTTCTCATTGGGGAAGCAAAAAAATTCACTCAGGATGAGATTGGGTGAATAGCGAGGGTAGGGCACAGGAGTCATACTGACATTGTCATCAAAAACTGCTGAACACTCAGCATGGTGGGCCAGGTGCGTTGTCATGATGGAAGAACTAATAACCTGTTTGCCACAACTTGAGACATTTCTTCTGCAAATTGTGATGGAAGCTTCTCAAAATTTTTGGATAAAAACTTTGGTTCACTGTTTGATATGGAGGAATAAATTCTTAGTGTACTACGAGGGGCTCTCCCTCCTAAAGATAATTCCTGTTTTGGGGGGGTTCCCCCTTGTATAGCTCTCAGGTTTTTTCTTAAACATTATATTAATAAAACAATACCTTCAATGGCTCCCTGGGACATATAACATAAACATTTAGCGCTGTGGCCTTTTTTTAGACCATTATATTGTGGTCATTTTAGACTGATCTTTTATCACTTCAGAGGAAACTACTGCTTTAGCCAAACTGATCAACTTACTGTTCCTAAAATACGTTTATTTTGTCTGTTTTAACACCTCATACTGTTGTTTCCTTCACCTAGAGCAGCTTCTCCCGTCACCTTCTTTACTAAAAATCTTCTCTCAGAGCCTAGTCCAAATGAACCTTTTTGGTAGGTGGAATGGTTTCCCAGACAGGTTGAAAAAAATCTCTCCCTTATGAAACTTCTATAGAGTTTATTTTTATCAGCCACAGACAATTTATTACAGCCTGCTCTCTAAGACTGTGTGTGTGTTCACTTCTGTGAGAAAGTAAATCCTGAAGAAGCAGGGTATACCAATATTTTTTGTCTCTGCATTCTCCATAGTGGCTAGGCATGAAAATCTCATGTACTGAGGTAACAAATATCTACTATGAATAGAATTGGGATGGTAAAAGTAAAAAAATTATTTTATTCATATAAAAGATTTCTCGTCTTTCTGATTCTAAAATCTGATGAAAATTGGTAAATCCCAGTGTTTTTAGGATATATGAAAGAGTATGTATGCACACAATATATTCCTATCTTCCTAGAAATAAGGATTTATAAGTGATGAAAGGAAGAATAAATTAAATTTTTCTTTGAATCTGAAGTGAAATGATTTGAGATCCTTGGGAAACAGAACAAGCTAGCTCCCACATCTGAATCAGTTGTTTCCCTCTTCATCCAGGGTACACAGATGACAGGGGTGGGTACTGGGGGGGACAAGGGAGAAAGACAGCTAATCTCCTTTTCTTCTCCTTAGTGGGCAATTTGATGTTGCATCTTTTACGTTAGCTGCCTCCTGGATACATGGTGAGGATGCAAAATAATTATAGAGCTCCTTCATGAGGGAAAATACAAACACTTAGTGATGTTATCAGGTTACAGATTTTAAATATATACACACATAGTTCACACTTGCTGAACCTTAACCCATATTCATCATGTTAAGACTTTTAAATAGTACACATCTCTGTCTTAGAAGCCTCACTACTCTGGGACATAGCTCCCAAATAAAAAAAAATTATATAAGATGGGCTTGGTGGCTCAGCCTGTAATCCTGCGCCTTTGGGAGGCTGAGGTGAGTGGGTTGCCTGAGCCCGCGGGTTCAAGACCCACTTGGGCAGCGAGACCTCATCTCTACAACAAATCGAAAAATCAGCCGGGCATGGTAGCGCATGCCTGTAATTCCAGCTACTCGGAAGGCTGAGGTGGAAGGATCGCCGGAGCCCAGCAGGTTGAGGCTGAGGTGGCCGGGAGCGGCCACTGCACTCCAGTCTGGGCGACAGAGTGAGACTCCAACTCAACAAAAAAAAAAAAAAATTATACTAGAAATAATTATGAGAGAAAACCAGCTTTAAAATCATGTGGTATATTCCTGAGATCTGACTCAATCTTATTTTAGGCATGGTGATAGGACATCAATAAACCATTTTCATATGCTTCTTGTATAATAAACGATTCCATTATTCAAGGTCTAAATTTTAAAGCAGAAATCACAAAAGTAAATTTTTAAAATTGGAGAATATGTAAATAGAAAATAGTGTCTTTTATAATTACAATATTTCTTATAATAAACTAAAATGTAATCAATAGTTACTATTAATTAGACTGCAATGAACTTTGATGAGAGCAAATAAAAAGGAACTTGATCAAATTAAAAATTTGTAGTGAAGCACTATAGTTTATAAAAGTATATACTTATGTTGTATCCAAAGTGCAGAAACCCACATTACGCCTTTTAGGGAGACAGGACTTCGTTATAGCTCAGGCTCAACTGAAATACAAGAACTGGTAAAATGGTGATTTATTGATTCAAAAATCATTCAGGGACAGAAAAGAAAAATTACAGCAATATTTTTGATTTCATGGTGTTCGTTCACAGCAGTTCCCCTCCTTGGCTAGCACTTCCCTCTTACTCAAATTCTAATTATTCTTCAGTGTTCTTTCCTAAAGTCTTTCTACCCACTTAAATACCATTTTCTCTCTCTCATCCTATGCAATTAAGTATATACTGCTCTTTTGACAAAACTACATTCTGATGAGTACTTTTGTATAATTTCTCATATTGTATCTTAGTTCATGTTTTCTCATCCTGATTGAAGGATTCTTAGGGCAAGTACAATGTTTTATAACTCCTTATATATTATGCTGCACCCAGTATAGTGCTAGAGAGCCTATTTTCAAAAAATTCTCCAGTCTTCAGAATACATCAGAGCAGACTTTAGAAGAGTTTTGAGCATGAAGATAAAATAATTCAGTTAATCTGCTAAAGGCAGTAAGAGTAAATCCATATAACTGATGGAATTTCTGCTAACATACTGAACAGATAGTCTAAAAGTTTTATATACAGTTGTACTTACTAGAATTATTGAATGTTAGTGAATCATTCTCCTAAAAATTTAGATAAAGATTTTTAGGCTGTTAGTGCTAGGAAAGTACTCAGAAATGATCTTTAGTCCAATCTCTCTCTTTTTTTAATGATAAAATTAGGTCGTGTTTATTAGCTGACTTATCTTGTCACAGTTATTGCTAGAATTTATTCTAGAACCTATGCTTCTTGGATTTTAGACCAGTGTTGTTTCTACTAAACCATACTATCTCTTTTGTCAAATTAAACAATAAATAACTGCCATAGGAAAACAAACCTAATAACAAGGCAAACAAGTTATTTTACTAAAATAACTTTCAACTGAAAAACAGGAATTACAAAAATCAAACTTTAGTAAAACACTACCTATCCCTATTTATATTTATACATAGTCAGATTCAGGAGTGAGGAGGAAGAGAAAACTCAGTAAAAACCTGCATTACACAATAAAAATGTTACAATACTTTAAAATACATACATTACCTTTAAATGCATATTTTATAAGGAGGAAATAAGCAGTGGTCAAATAACTCCTTGAGTCCCCAAGTGATATGAGATTAGGAAAAAGCCAACTAGTACATGTGCTCGTTTTTCATATAGATTATTACATCTAAAGAGTTTAGTTACCACTACTTCCCTTAAGGTGTCCTTTCTTACCAGCACTGTCAGTGTGGCACAAAGACCTTAAAAAGGAGGTCTTTTAAAGGTTGCTTTTACAATGCCTAAATCACAAGACTAAAGTTTACAGACCATAAAAATAAATTAATACATAAAAATGATGGAATTTACTTCAATTGGTTAGAATAGAAGTAATTCTCCATTGCCATGCTAAATGGTAGCAACATTTTCTCTGTGTTGTTCCTACCTTATGTAGGCGTGACCTAGAGATTTGCAAAACTCTTCAATCGCCAATGCTTTTGTACCATTCATATTAGAAAGATAGCCAGGGATGAAGATAATTCCTGGACTTTTGCCTTTTAGCCTCTTATAAGCCAGGTTTGGAAGGTCTGGTCGATTAAGGAAAGAGAGTGATGTCTTTTGTCTGCAAGCTAAACAAAGTACACAAAACATAAACTATGGTTTGCAAATTCAGTTTTTGGAAAACTACATATATTTTAAATCTTAACTTTCTCAACAAATCAACTGATAAGAAAAATAAAAACAAAATTACTCAAAGTACTAAATTAATCTAAAGTCTGTTCATGAGATCATGTTTTAAAAAAGTGTCAAAATCAGTACCTTCTTTGAGCAAGGTACAATCTTGATTCTTCCAAAATACATAATGATGTAGAAATTTCAAGACAACAAAAGACAGACCAAAAACATTTTCCTGTTGCTACCTTGTTATCTATTCTAAACAGTATTAATCAACATTCAGATTTACTTGCACAAACTCAGTCCTTTCTTGTGAGATTTTTGCCTCTTTTTTAAATGTTTGTGGAGTTTCAAATTCTCTACTTTCTTGAGGACCAGTTTGGTCTATCCTGGGAAATTGTTTCAAAGGGGGAGATGCTATTCTCCTTTTATTACTGCCTCCCACCCATCCACCCCAGCGAGAATATCATGGGCCATAATAACGGCCCATCATAATAATTCATCAGTTAAGATGGAAACCAGCAGTTTCTTTACAAATAATCTTGAATAACATGATAGTATCATTTTTGAAAGAGATTTCTCATAGGACTCTGCAATCACTTTGTGTTCTGTCAGTTTGGTTTTCTGTAAATGATACACATAAACTTGGTGTAATTTAAGTCAAAAGTACAACCAGTGAACTTTGCAAGGTTACTCAAGTCCATTGTTTTTCAAATCTTCTCCTTACAATTAAAGCAATACTTGCTTTTTAAAAAATAAGTAGAAAGACATTTTTTTAAAAGAGTCATTTATAATCCCACCTCTTTCCAAAGACATTAGGTTTGTGTACTTCCTTACAGTCTTTAGATTAAACACATCTCTTTTTTTATATTAAATAAAGCCTTCCTCCACTCGCTCGTAGCTAAACTTTTCAGTCTCTTCCATATGGGCAGCCAAAGTGTTCCCCATTTTGAATTTAAGAAGCTGACTTTTGGTTGGATGGCTCACGTTTGTAATTGCAGCACTTTGGGAGGCTGAGGTGGGAGGATTGCTAGAGCCCAGGAGTTCAACTCCTTAAATACCCAGTGGAAAATGATAAGAGATAAGAAAGCCAACCAGAATGTTTGTTGTCATATAGATTATTACATCTAGAGTTTAGTTATCACTACTTCCCTTAATGTTGTTTCTTGCCAGCACCAGTTCAAGTTCAAGACTAGACTAGGCAACATAGGAAGTCTTTGTCTCTACAAAAATAAAAAAAATAAGCCAGGTGTGGTGGTGCATGCCTGTAATCCTAGCTATTCAGGAGTCTGAGGCAGGAAGACTGCTTGGGCCCAGGAGGTAGAGGCTGCAATGAACCATGAGCGTACAACAGCACTCCAGTCTGGACGACAGAGTGAGACTAACTCAAAAAAAAAAATCTGTTTTTAAAAATACTGAGGTAGGGTGCGATGGCTCATACCTGTAACCCCAGCACTTTGGTAGGCTGAGGCAAGAGGACTGCTTGAACCCAGGAGTTCAAGACCAGTCAAGACAATATAGTAAGACCCTGTTTCTACAAAAATATAAAAAATGACCAGGCACGGTGGCACACACCTGTAGACCCAGCTATTTGGGAGGTTGAAGCAGGAGGATCCCTTGAGCCCAGGAGTTTGAAGCTGAGGGGAACCAAGATCTTGCTACTGCACTCCAGCCTAGGCAAGAGTGAGGTCTGGATTCTAATGAATTCCACTCAAATGAAAGCTTTAAAACCATCCCTTTTGGCCAGGTGCGGTGGCTCAAGCCTGTAACCCCAGTACTTTGGGAGGCTGAGGCAAGAGGATTGCCTGAGCCCGCGGGTTCGAGACCATCCTGGGCAAGATGGTGAGACTTGGTCTCTACAATGAATCAAAAAATTAGCCAGGCGTGGTAGTGTGCACCTGCAGTTCTGGCTACTTGGAAGGCTGAAGCAGAAGGATCGCCTGAGCCCAGCAGGTTGATGCTGGGTGGCCATGAGCATGCCAATACACGCCAGGGCGATGAAATGAGATTCCAAATAAAAAAAACAAAAAACAAAAAACAAAAAACTATCCCTTTCACTCTTAAACTTTGTTTGAAAGTTTCAATATATTGATAAATATGACAAATTTAAAACTTCTGGTAGGTGCCAGTCCACAGACTGTATCAGCAAGAATGTTCATTTCCCATTCCTTACCTGAGCACTCAAAAAAATCCTTTCTATCCTCTTCTGGATTATTGCTTCTCAACAGAGTAATTTCCCTGTGAGATGATTACAATTTATTTACTGTTGGTGAGTTATAAGTAGACAGATTCTTAATATTATATCTATAAATCATCTACGTACCATAAGGATTAGCTCAAAGCCTGGACATAAGTGCTCAATAAATATTTGCTAAGTAGATGAAAGAATATACTCTGGTTAATGAATTGACATACTATACTTTGCCAGGAATACTTATATAATAATACGTCTTTTGGTTGTGTACAATTACTTAAGTTATACTGATTATATAAATGTAAGAATTTTAACTCGAAACAAAGAATCCCTGCCATGACATGAAGTACCATTCCGAGGACCCTGCACCTGACAGCTGCGTGGCAAGACACCAAGCCCCCTCAAAATAGAAGAACACAATTCAAAGACAGATTATCTATACACGATGTTCTCTGACTTCTGATCCAAATTCTAGTTTCCTTCGTACAGTCATGATTGTGGTGCTTTCACCGAGTGGGAGCATCGAGATGTCAAAAGCCAGAAATCAGGCTGGATGAGGGCTTTTACAAAGAACATGCCTCCCACCGTCAGTTCCCTCAAGTCAAAGGAGAGTCGGTTTCAGCATTTTAGGAGTCACAGTCTGTAAACCCTTAGAAGCAACTCCTCATGAAATGCACTAAACGCACACCTTAATTTTTCCTCCTGTGGGTGTTCAAGGTCGAGGAGACAGGCCAAGAGCAGGAGCTCCTTAAACTGCACAGCAAGAAAAACGCCAGCAAGGGCCGGGGCCGCCCAGACTGCCCCAAGGCCGCGGCGGAGCTCTACTCAAAGCCTTCATATCAGAACTGTACACAACGCCTAGGGCTGGAGTGCTGAGAAAGGGGGGAGGGCCTTTTTGAAGGGGGCGCCAAAAACTCACTGTTCAGGCACAGGAACGGACGGAACCCGAGGGGTTCGAAAGAACGCAACCTCCTCCCGCCTCGCGGCCACTGACCTGGGAGACACCGTGGCGCCCGCTGGGGCGTCCGAGCAAGCAACGCGCTGAGGCCATGGTGGGAGCCAGAGGAGACGGCTGCCCAGCCCCAGCTCCGACAGGGTCCCCACGCCGCTACCGCGGCCATGCCCGCGCCCGCCATCTTCCCAGCAGTCCTCGCAACCCACACGGGGCCAGAGACACGCACTACGCACAGGGGCCGAGGCTGCCCATGCGCTGTCGGCTGGGAGGCGGAGCTAACTAAAGAGCGCCGCGCGCGATTTTCCGCCTACGGAGAGCGCGCATGCGCCAAGCGTCCTTGCTCTAGCCGCCGGGCTGGGGCTGCCGCTTCTACCCGTAAGAGTTTTCGCGGCGAGGTGGTATTCCAGGTTTTAGACGCTTAGGGAGAAACCGTTTGCGATGTTCCTAGCTAGGAAACCCTCTCGGCATCCCGAGGACAGTGGGGAGCGGAAACGTAAAATGGTAGGCTTGCTGAATGGCACATCCCTCTCATTTCGTGACAGTTGTAACCTGTACCGGAAACGCTCCCAGAATGCGACCTTAACCTTGAACGTGTGAATACCTGGAGTGGAGTCGGACATTCGCCGCTCCCTCGCCCCTTTTCAGTTCGTCGTTTCTGTTATGTTTCTCTACGTGCTTGACTACTTGATTTGTTGCATTATTCTGACCTCTGCCGGAGGCAAAAACACATTTCAATAAATGCTGTAGACAAACCCAAATTTCAATAAGTAATTTCAATGGAAGAACAAAACTCAGAGAATTAAATTTTAAAGGAGTATTTTATAGTCCAGGGATCAAATAAACTCTTACTATTTCAAACTCCAAAATCATAAAGAAAACATATCCTCATGAATTTACACTTTTTGAATGGCAGAAGACACTCGAAGTCAAATAAGAACCTAGAAAAATAGATTTTGCAGTATAGATCTATTAATACTTCTATTCAGCCTGCTCCTAGAAATTAGGAAAAAATACAATTTTTTAAGGTAGTGACGTTTATTACTTGCCTGAGTAGTGCCCCCAACTCCCCCTCATGTAACAAAACAACTTCAGAAAAAAATATAATTTTAATAAAATTGGCTAATGGGCAGGAATAGGCGGCTCATATAAGTAAGCATGATGCTCAACCTCACTAACTGAAAAATTGGAACTCCAAAAAATAACATGCCATTCTTCCCCCCCGTTCTTCAGATTGGCAGAAGCTTATTTTTTTTTTTTTTTTTTTGAGTTGGAGTTTCATTCTGTCGCTCCCGGTCACCGCAGCCTCGACCTGCTGGCCTCCGGCGATCCTTCCACCTCAGCCTTCCGGGTAGCTGCAACTACAGGCGCGCGCTACCACTCCCGGCTAGTTTTTGGTTTATTGTAGAGATGAGGGCTCGTCAAGTTGCCCAGGCGGGTCTCGAACCGGCCGGCTCAGGCAGTCCACTAGCCTCGGTCTCCCAAAGTGCTGGGATTACAGGTTGAGCCACCGAGCACGGCCTGGCAAAAGTTAAAAAGAGCAACTATTGGTAAGGATGTCGCCACTTATGTATGATTGCTGGGAAAGTGAATTGCTAAAATCTGTGACCAAGTAATTGGGCCACATCGATTAAAATTTAAAAATATTGGCCGGTCTCAGTGGGTCGCCGGAACCCAGCAGGTCGAGCGTGCCACTGCACTCCAGCCGGGGCGACAGAGTGAGACAGGGTGAGACTCCAACTCAAAAAAGAAAGAAAGAAAGAAAGAAAAGCATCATTTCCAATGCCTTTTGACTCAGTGGTCGCAGTTCGTGACTATCCAATAGAAAACTAGTTCATAAAGACCCAAATTATCTACTACAGCGCCACCTTTAGAGACTAAGAGGAAAAAAATTGTAATGCCCAACAACAGAAAAAGAGCTGAATAAATGTCTGGACTTCAGCTCTGACACCTTTCAAACTAATTCCTGGGGGCCTCGGGCATCAACCAGTAAGGCCTTATCTACTTTTTCCTACTTAAAAGTTACTGTGGGTGATGTAATATTTTGAGTAAAATCAGTTTACTGTCCTGGTTATAAATTTTGGGGCAGTGATTGGTGCCAGAGTTATTTTAGTTTTCTTTTTTCATTTGACATTTAGGTCAGTGGTGCTAGCGTTAAAGATAATGTTTGGGTATAGTGAATCCAGCATGTTGTTGGAGTCTTGAGAACCTGTCCTATTGGAACACTCTGGAAAATTTGGATAAATAAAGACTCTGATGTCTTTCCTGAGAAGGGGAATACCTCTCATATAGTAAAAACATGTAGTAAGAAGAGTCGCTTGATTTCAGGACATATTCCAAAAGATTATGAGCTGTGTGACCATTTCTCCATTAGATCTGTTGTAGACTCCAAGTGTGATGCCCAATGCATGTCATCTCATCATCCCTTTTATCTTAACAAAGACTTATCCCTGTAGGTTTTGGATACGTGCAAAATATTCTCAATCATGACTCTTCTTTTTATCCTCCTTCTGTATTTGCAAATCTTCTTGCATATGTTTGTGTGCAGCAAAATGAAAAATTTGACTTATCATAGTGGGAAAAGCACTGCACACACAAAAAAGCAGAGAAACCCATGGATTGTCTTCTCTATCCACTTTTACAAGTTTAAAAAAATCAGAAAAAATTGTGGCTAGTGACAATTGTAGATGCTTTTGCTGAAAGTGATGAGCTTCAAGTAGACAAATGTGTTTCCACCTTGGATATCTACTGTCAGTGTTACCTTCATTAACATACAAAGGGATAAAAGCACACACTGTTGAGGGCGGTTTCTCTCTCTGAAATCTGCTGCCTTAGTTCAGGGAGACAAATGAGGTTCCCACCAAGTAAAGCTTGACCACACATTTACATGATTTTTTCCCCCCAGTAAGATAGATGGATAAGTAAATACAGTTCTTGCAATCCCCAGTAATAAATGTATTTGTGCAAAAAGGCAACAATGTCAGATTTTTTTCAGGTTTCATCTCATTTTGAAAACAATAAGAAATATGACCAGAGATACTTCTAATTACTTCTTTATAGACTACAAACTGTAATAGCATACAACAACCTTTATGTCATTTCTACTATTGTCTTTTGCTGACTAATTCACTCTCCATCAGGTTACTGATAGGTGGCTTGCAAATGAGAAATGGGTTTATTTTCAAATGTGAAACCAGGTCAATTTTTTAATACAAACTCAACATATTTAACACACATATTTAAAAAGGTTTACTACATCATGCAAGTTGGGTAGAACACCTTTACAATCCTATGAAGAAAGTACAGTACAGAAAAGTTATATCTTTACATAAAGCAACAAAATCTTAGCAATTATATTTCACTTTCTTAAATCATTACAGCATTTAAGGGTAATCTCTGTAAAATCAGGTTTTAAAAATGTCTTCCACAGTCATGATTTTTGTCCTTCACTGTTCAAGTAAAATCTCATGTCATCCAGTTGCAAAATCATTATTGGCAACATGTACACATGTATACAGACTACACTGCAGATAAAAAAAAAAAAGTTGTACCCAGTCAGGCCTGACAAAGTTTTAGAGACACTTATAGTCTAATAATTTCACCTTGTACTAGTAAGTAATATCGTTATTTTCTATTCATTTCTATTCATTTGCCATGTTTTAGGAAATAGTACATTCATACTTTTAAACATGCAAAACATGATAAACTAGAATGAATGGCACGTGAAAAACCATTATAAAAGAGACTTGCCTGAAGTCATTTCATTCAACAAAAATTAATTTAACTCAAAAACCAAAGTCTAACTGTAAAAAAAAAACATAAAATAGTACATTAAAAAGAATGTAAGTTGAACTTCATTTTATAGAACAACACCACTTCTGCAAATAAGTATATTGATTGGTCTGTTCTTTGGTGAAAACAGAGCTATGATTTCATGGTTATGTCACATAAGAGTGCACTTAGCAGGTATGCTCCACAACAAAGAGAAATCGGACAATCTAAAAGACATTGGCTACTGGTTGCCTTTATTCTCAGCACCAAGTATGGAAAAATCTTCAGCAAAACAAGCTTCTAACACCAAATATTCTCTTTACTTAAAATTGCCCAATGTGACAGAATGCCTGTTGTCTAAGATGACTTCTCCCCCCCCAAAAAACCACACAGCTTTTTGCTCATTCTTCTGTTACTAAATGGTTTACTATGTATGTACAGTAGCTTATACAGGTGGTGAGACTGCAGAGTCAATTTTCTGGGTTTCTCGTGGCATCGAAATACCATTCTGAAATATAGAATAATATAGTAAATGCAGTTCATCACTTACAGTTGCTACTGCTAAAAGGAAGTCATATCAAGTCTTTGGTTTTGGTGCAGTACTTAATTAAGGCAAAACTCCTCTGAAAACATATTCCCTCCAAGCCCTTGCTTGCTTATATTTGTAAAATGCTACTTTTTTTTTTTAAAAAAAAAAAATGCTACTTTTTTTTTTTAAAGCCATTTGGTTGCCAATAATGTCAATGACAATGATTTGAGTGCTAAAATAATTCCATGTTCCCAAGTATATATAGGCATTTTGTAAAATAGTTTATTTCACCAAAACCAACAATTGATTAAAAATAGTTTATAAGAAAAGTTGTTTATCAAAATAGTGTTTTCCTTCTCATGGGAGCTTCAATTCTTTTGCTATTTATGATCAAGCTTTTCATTGAAATCCCTTCTTTCTTTTTTACAAATGACTTCTTGCTAATACAAAAGGAGTTCTGAGTGCATACAGTTCAAGGGTTGGGTCTGTTGGGTCTTCCCGTCTGGGATTGAATATGGCTTCGTTATTGTAAGAGATTATTGCAGTGTGCCCTGAAGTGGACTGTTGCCCAGTTCATTACAACAAGAAGTGAGTGTAACCTTCTGCCCCTGTAACTATAACATCCATCCAGATCCGCATGGCTTCTGGTGATGGGGCCACCATATAATAGATTCTGTCATGCGTCTTGACACTAAAGGTGAGTAATGGATTAGGACTCTGAAATTCAAAAAAAGGAAAAGAACATAAAACAAACATTTTGAAATAAATTATTAAATAAAACAGACATATGTAAAGTCCTCTTCTTTTAAAGTTTCAATATATAAAATTTATGTATGTAGGTATTACTTTTATTCTACTATATCTTGTACCCCCCCATTCCTTTCTCTCGATTGATCATCTTTGGGCTTTGCTGCACAAGAAATCTCACACAGAGCTCCCTAATTCTCTTAGCAC